AGCACGTGATCTGCAGACACAAATGGTCCCACGACTTCTGTCCTCTCAGGCTTTTCCTGTCGCAGCTTGCTCTGGTAATCTCAAGTTCCAGGGACCCGAGAGGTTATCTCTCACCACTGTCTATTATATATAAGTCCTTTGAGCGAGAGCGCCTGGAGATTGGGAGCAGAGGAATAATGCCCAAAGGGGGTGGGGATTGCTCTCCATGAACTGGTGTGTGAAAGGTTTGCTCTTTCCAAACATTTGAGAGCAATTGATGTTTGTAAATATCTGACAAGGTAAAATCTACAGTTGATTATTTTATATAAAGCGACATGGCATTGCATAGTAAAAATGAACATGAGTAGAGAGGCCTGGCAATGTGGGTCCTGATGCCAGCTCGGCTCAGTTTAGTTGTGGGCATGGTGTCAGGTCAGCCTGGGTAACTCTCTCCCCTGTGGGAAACTGGGAATAATTAATAACATCCCTGCTTCCCTTCCAGGACTGTTAGGAGGAAGACATGGTAAAGTATGAGGGAGTGTTGCATGGTAATTACAGAGCGTAAGTCTTTAATTCCTAAGGTTGAAATAAAGTCTTTGATAAAGGTGGAGTTGCCATCTTAAAATGCGGCCAGTCTGCATAAGTAAGCCTTTCTTGGGTCAGAAGGTTTCGCTCTTGCTGTATAGACCCATGCAAGTAGTCACTACCACTTTCCCCGCCGTGACCTGGGAACATTAAGCACGGAGTGCCCGGGTCACCTTGCCTCACTGCCTCTCTGCGTTTATTGACCACATCCAGAAACACCCAGGCCTCTTTACAGCTCCCAACCTCTGTACTCGGTAGTTTTCATCCTTGGCGTGGAATTCCCTTCGTCCAGGTCTCCATCTGGCCAACACCTGCTCTTTGCTCAAAACAGTTTAATCATTACCTCCTTCAGGAAGCCTCTCTCAGTTCCCTCAAGCAAAAACAGGGATGCTGTTGCCTTGTCTAAGGACCACGCTGTTTCAGCTCTCATCACACTCCCTGATACTGCTCTATTTGAGAGCATCTGTCTTATTCGTCTTGACTTTCCAATCCAGGCAACGTAGTGTAAAGCAGGTGTCTCATATATATTTGTAAATTGTTAACATCTGAATAAAACTATGATGTTTTCTCAAGGAAAAAGACAAAAGAAAGGAAAAAGAAAGATTTCAAGAATAGCCTGCCAGTTCATTTCAGAATCTGAGAGAAATGTGATTCCATTTTTGCCATGGGAAATTTGAGGTAGAAGCTGTTAAATAAAAAGAAGAAGGGCCCTCCCTGGTGGCGCAGCGGGTTAAAGCACAGTATTAAGAAGCTAAAACCACTTCCGCATAAGTTCGATCCCCACCTGCCCCGGAGGTGACAACATGGCGCGGCAGACCTCTCCTGACCCGCCCGCTGCTCCCCTCAGCAGTGTACTTCGTGGATCTGCCTGTTCTGCTCCCTGCTCTGTCTCTGGTGAATCCTATCACCCTCCACATCTCTGGCCTGTACCCCAGTTCTGTATGAATAAATAAATAAATCTTAAAAAAAAAAAAAAAAGGAAAAGCTGGTAATAGTAAAATATGGAACAGTGACAGTGGGGGCTCCCCGACCCTTGATACCACCATCGTCCCTTGTGCTATCCCCTCCTCTGTTTTGACTCCTCCCTTCCCCCATCTCCTGCTGTATGTCTCAGATCTATGGTCAGCCTGCAAGTTTTGTCTTTTCCCTGACCCTACATTTAGTTTCTCTAGAAAACACGTATAAGTGAAACCATCCAGTATTTAATCTTTTTCCTTCTAACTTATTTTGCTTAGTATCATCCCTTTCAGTTCCAGCCATGTTGCTGCCAATGGAGGAGTTTCTTTTTGATGGCTGAGTAGTATTCCATTGTGTCTCTATGCCATATCATCTTCATCCATTCATCTGTTTTGGGGGCATTTGTGTTGTCTCCATGTCTTTGCTATTGTTAGTCCAGTCAGCTGGCTTCCAGGAAATGCTTAAGCTTTGATTGAGACTCCACAGTGAGCACTGCATTCACATCCTACTCTCCCTGTGACTTTGTTTGTTTAAAAGGTAGAAATGTTAAAGTTAAAAATTTTACACACACCCTAAAAGTAAAAGTAATGTGTCTCCATAGAATCCTTTGCTACTGCTAAGTTTGGTGTTTTCCTTTCTGCTTTCCTCAAGCACAGATGATATCCATGCACTCTTCTAGTGCAAATATCTCCTATAATTGGTTTCTTTTAAGAAGGAAAAGAAACACACTATGTTACTTAGAGCAGGACCAAGTGAGATTAGAGGCAGGTTATAGTTTTTTTCTAAGACATAGTTGGCAAACAGCCTAGTACCAGCTGTTCTCATTTCTCTTTATCTTTCAATGGCATTATCAGTGGCTCTGGATGATTGAAACTGTGAAACCACTACTTTTACACCAGTACCGAAGAATAGTGGCTGGTCAGTAGCTTGAGTGTGTTTTCTTTCTGCAGGGCTGTATATGTTGGGTGCAATGTTAGATCCAGAAATGGAACAGACAGTGAACAGTGAAGCATTTATTGAATGTCTATTATAAGTAGTTTAGTACAAATGTGTGTCCATATTTTACCATCTGCAGACATGAAAGATATAAACACAACCAAATATTTCATAATGATCACTCTAATATGGTGGCATTTGGGATGTTTGTAGATATCACAGAAACAGACAGAAGAGCCAGAATTCATGTTCAGAAACTTGTGAATCATGCCTGTGGATTCCAAGTTGGTTGCTCTACAACAAAGACACAATGGAGAACAATTTTTTTTTTTCAAAGATGTTGCATAACATGAGGTATATCTGCATTTGTACAGCACACTTTGTAGTAGGATGTATGGAAACAGCAGGGTAAACTTCATAAGGAGCTGACTATTTAATCAGGGAAAGAACTCTTTTTATAGTACATTATACATGCATACACATAAGCTCAGTAAAGCTTGACAGAATAAGTATCAATTTCCTATTTAAATAAGATCTTCCTAGAGCTTAGAGAAATTTGAATATTGTATGCATTTGGCATGATTCATTCCTCCCAGGAATGTCATGGGCTCTTGTTAATAATATATCCCTGTCTCCTCCCACCCACCTTTCCAAAGTTACTAGCAATCCAGTAGATTGCAGAGAAGCTCTTACCCAGAGATCCTTTGAGCAGTCAATGAATCTCCTCTAAAACATGTATATGGTGTAAACATATAGCAACAAGGAGGCTGGGGTTTCCCAACTCTTCTCTCACATTCACAGCCCATACACAGAGACCTGGAAACCTCTCTCTGTACTCCACCTAGCCGTCTTCTCCAGGTCGACACCCTCTGCCAGGCTTTGACTGCTCAGGCCAAGCAACCCTGCCTCTCTGCAGTCACTAGTCAGTCTGCTGGTGTCTGTGTAACAACGGGCTCTAGCTCCTGGCCCCAGGTTTCCTTGGGCTGCCCCACTTTTGTGTGTGAGCTACTCATTGACTTACCCATCAGTCAGTCCTGCCTCTCTCCCTTGAACTTGCTGAAGGAGAACTTAGTTTATTTCACATATTTTTTTTAAATGAAAGTGCTCTTTTTTCTGACAAAAATCCTTTCCAACTCTTTTCTGCCAGTCATCCACCTTCTCAACTAAATTCCCTGGCATCATCTCCTTTCCAGACTGACCCCTCGTCTTCCCTTTGCAACATTCCCTCCATCCTTACCTCACTCCTGAGAATAAAAGAATGACTTAAGGAGACATGTCTCAGTTTCCTTACCAACCTTCCAGATTAAGAACAACTACTTGTGGCAGCTGCCCCCACTAAGCCCTTTCTTTCACCACAGCCATGCCTAGCTGCCCTCCCCTGAAGACACCAAGAAGCAGTGTTGCTTCATTGCCTACCAGAGAACGTGTCCCACGTAGAGATAACAAGGCCATTCAGCTGAGCTGGATTTGCTTTCCAGGCGTCCCACATGTTTGGCGCCTGCCTTTGGCCCACTCTGACAGCCCCACCTGCACCACACTGCTCATTCATCTATAAAATGTGGGTGATGAAATGAAGGTGCTGCACATCACAGGGACTAAAAAAGAACTGTTTCCATCGCCCTTGTTGCATAAATGAAGGAACCAATGAAAGAGACATTACCTTGGGCTCTGACAGGATCGCGTGGAGCTCCTCAGTTTCTAGACGCAGGGGTCAGTGTGCTCATACAGTAGCTTGACTTGTGCGAGGTCCCGGGTCATCCTCCCCACATGGCTTCTGGGTCGCTGCCTTAGCCCTGCATCTGTCTTGGATACTCCTGGAGCACCGGGAGCGTCCCCATGAACTGCTGCACCAGTTTGCAGAACTGGCTGATTTTTCTTGTTCTGAGCTACTAAAACCCAGTGGGATTATCCGAGCATTTAGAATCCTCTCATATGTACGTCGCCGGTCAAAAACCCCTCCCACCCGATGTCCTCCTAGCCAAACCCTCCGAGTGACCGGAGACATTGAGGCTGACTTACATCCAGGACTTTGAACTTGCGTGCGTGGGGGGATGATGGCGTTGGTGACAAGGAACCAGGTCTGTGCGGCAGGCGGGTGTGAATTCAGCAAATTCTTCTTCAGATGTGGATGCATTTTTATTTTATTAGACTGTGAGTGAGGGGAGACAAATGAAAAACTCTTGACTAGGAATATGCAAAAGTCAAAATGCCATGCTCCTAACATGGATTTGTATCAAATATGGAAATCTAATTATGCATCTCCTAGAATTTAAGTGGTTCACGTTATGTAAGGTTGACATCAGGATGACAGGCATTTTTGAGATTTTTTTCTTCCTTGGATATGGCATGGAGTACTCTTTCCTCCAGTCCGCTTGACCTTATCCACGCCTTAAACCCGAGATTGTGCCTTCTGTATTACATGTTCTCGCATAACTGAGAAAACAATTCTGTGAAACAATATTTCAAGAAATATTGTTTCTTTGAATAACTGGTTTTCCCTAGACAAAATAAAGTGTTATGCTACATTACAGCCTCACTGTTAGGAACGAAGAGAGAGGGGACGGTGCGGGAAGACCCACGCACACCACAAAACTGGAGGGCGTCCAGGTGCTAGAGGAATGGTGAGTGACCTCGCGCGCCTGTCTTGTGTTTGTTTACTGTTACGTGACTGAGGCTTACGGCTTACCTCGTGCCTCCTGGCACGCTGCAGAGTGGTCTTGGGAAACGAATGTCCGCTCAGCCTGGGAGATCTTATTTTACAAAGGCAATTGGTCTTATTGATTTTTCTGTTAACTGTGGTAAGCTATGAGCTGAGTCCTTGCTTGAGTTTATCTTTTTCTTTTAAAAACTAACGCTCTTCAAATTGTCCTAATTTCTTGCTTCCTTTCCTGAATTTTTGTTTGTTTGTTTTTGTTTTATGTATAGGGGATAAATCTAAAAAACACCAAAAGTGTTATGGAATGACCTACATTGGTCCAAAAACTGGCATCAATCCCACCTCCATCAGAACAGACTTTTGCTAATTATTTTTCCCAAAGTATGAAGTTGAAGTGATCAGAACTACAGGATAAAATACATGTAGATGATGAATATAGCTAGAAGAGCTTTCTTTTTCTGCTTATGAGGAGGTTTTAATATGGATGTTTCATAGTAGTTTTTCCATCTTTAATATTTTGTGGATGAATAAGGATGTTCAGACATTTTGGACCAGTAACAAACCTATTTAAAATACTTAGTCAAAAATGTAAGAAAAAGGCTCTCCCTGGTGGCGCAGCGGGTTAAAGCACAGCACTAAGAAGTCAAAGCCGCTTCTGCATGAGTTTGATCCCTGCCTGCCCCGGAGGTGACCACATGGCATGGCAGACCTCTCCTGACCCGCCAGCTGCTCCCCTCAGCAGTGTACTTCGTTGATCTGCCTGTTCTGCTCCCAACTCTGTCCCTGGTGAATCCTCTCACCCTCCGCATCTCTGGCCTGTACCCCAGTTCTGTATGAGTAAATAAATCTTTAAAAAAAAAGTAAGAAAAAAAATAGGTACTTTTTTGACCAAATGATTTTTAGATTGGAAAGTTATTAAACAGACCTAGTATGACCAGGATCAATTTAGCCATAAGGAGCTCTGAGCTTCTCTCCTCCACTTCTTTGGGAGATAAGCAAAGAGAGTAATAACTGGTGTTTTCTGTAAGAAAACCTGGAAATATTTTTTTTTAATCCTCAGTGTCATTCTACAGGCCCTGTACTTATCAACTGTGATAGCTCCTTTCATGGGTAACAATTCATTCATAGCACTTAATAGAAAAACCCTTGACGTGGAGGAGATTATATGACAGATGCACACACTATATTCTTGTTTTAGGTCCAGTGACAAATGAAAAATTTGCTCCCAGAAATGAGAAGAGAACCTGTATCTTCTACTTGAAAATTAAAATCTACATCAGATGCAAACAGAATGTCAGTTTGCCCCTAAGTTATTTACAGGTCATACCGATCAATTTATACCATAGTATTAAGAATCGAGTGTTTCCCAACCTCATCAGGAACTTATGATGACCACACGGATAGTGTCCGTGACCTTTGCTGTCTGAACACATAGTTCCAAACATGCAGCCTTTGCATACAGGAACACCAAGACCTGGAAGTTAGTTCCCAACCTAGCTCAGCATTTATCTCTCAGCTCAAGCCAGGCTGAGTGGCAGGGCCACTAGATGGCAGTCATTGGCTAGACTTGCAGTCCACTCCTCCGGGCTGCCCCACAGGTTGAAGTCACCTTTGCTAATGGCCCCATTCTGTCTTTACAGCCAAAACCCCACTTCAGATGAAGTCTTGTCCTGGTCTCAAAATTTTGATAAGATGATGAAGGCCCCAGCAGGAAGAAATCTCTTTAGAGAATTCCTCCGGACAGAATACAGTGAAGAGAACCTCCTTTTCTGGCTTGCCTGTGAAGATTTAAAGAAAGAACAGAACAAAAAAGTAATCGAAGAAAAGGCCAGAATGATTTATGAAGATTATATTTCCATACTTTCACCAAAAGAGGTAAACATCTAGAAAGCACTGATGCGGGCTTCCTGACCCCATGGTTGAACGAAGGCGGCTGTTGTTCCCAAGGGGAGCGCGTGGAGGTGGGCAGGCTGAAGGGCTTTTCCGGGTGGACAATTTAGACTTTACTTGGGTTCTCTCTGAACACTTCTTAGACAGGTAGCTTCCCCATCATGCTTTGATCGTTTAGCTCTGGCTGAATCGTGTGGTAGCTCCTTGCTTCTTACAACTAACATTAAGCCTATTAGACACAATTTGCTGTGCCTTAGTGTGGAAAAACACTGACTTTGGGATGACAGTGTTTCTCAAAGTGCGATCCCCAGACACCTCTATGAACAAAACCTGGAACATTTGTTTGAAAAACATATTCTTGATGCCTACCTTGGACTTCTGAGTCTGAAATTTTGAAAACAGAGCAGGAAACTGTACTTTTGACAGGCTTTCTACACACACACAAGCCTGAACACCTCTGATAGAGAGGCTCTCGGAAAACAAACCTACCACATTTATTGATGCTGATGATAGAATTTTTACAAGACTGAGGAATGGGCCTTTGTAACCCAGTAATGTTCTTGAGGGAGATACAAGGTACAAGGATAATCCTGATTATTTTACTTATTTTAGTCTTTCTGTAGTGGAATGTGCAAACTATTGTTTCCTAACCCCATGGTGGAAACGATGAATAAGACATTGCTAACAACCAAATAATATATCCCAAATAATTTTCTGAAAGTCCATTGGATCCTCAGACATGGTGCAGTCACCAGGGTCAAAATCATCTGGTATCAGGTATCCAGGCCCCTGGTATGCTGAGTGACAAAGGCCAGAGGTGTTGAGGTTCCGAGAATGCACTCACTTTTCCACACCAACCTTTATCTCTTCTGTTTTTCTGAGAACACTGTGAATTTTACTTGTGTATTGAAGTGTCCTGACCAGTATTTTCTGCTCCCAGGGTTACTGCCACGCTTCTCTCTTGAGCGTGGACACTGATGGAATCCCCTAGAACTAGGTCCCACTAATCACTGCCTCATCCCACACTGGAGGTGGCCCTAACTTGTCTCATGCTCACTACCTTGACTCTATAGGGTCAAACATAGTCTTCTTTATCCATCTCTCTGTAATTCTATCTAAGCTACTGCATTTCCCAAGAGGTATACCTATCAGTTAAAAATTAGGTTACCAGTACCATTCATGCTCTCCAAAATCCTGCAGTGTTTTTAGAAAACGAGAAAACTTTTAACTGTGTACACAAGAGATCACTTTATTCTTTCATTCTCTACATTAACATAGAAAACATATTGATAGGAGCAAAGTAGGGAGATATTTTTCTATAACCTAAATATATTATGAATGCCACTTTGCATTTCTAACACCATACAATTCTACATCCTAAAAATACATGACTTAGCTTCCTGGTCTACCTGCATCTAAGTCTGCATCTAGAATCTCTACATCTAAGCAATTCTAGTTGGATTTTTTTAGCATATTTATTTCATTCTCATATTTTTATTTCATTACATGGCATAGCTTCCAAAGGATACAAATACGCTTCTCTTGCATCCTAATAGTGACATTTGAGTGATTGTTCAGCCTGTAATGTCATTAAAGTACTATAGAGAGACACAGAAACAGAGATGAAATTCAATTTTTTATATTTTTCTACTTGGTGATGACTTATAAATACCTTGCAATAGAATCAAAATTATTACACTGTATGAAGTTCAGCCAGATAATTACTCTGTTGTCAATAAATTATTAAGCATCATAAAATGAATAAACTAAAAGTATATATTTGAAATTATAAATTATAATTATTATGTTAAGGCAATGTTTACATATGTTTGCTCTTGAACCCTGTCAAGTGTCTTGATTCACAGATGCACTAGAATACCACAGCCACTTTCTAGCTGTCGTAGAGCCCTTCTAATATATAATTTCATTGATCTTTCAGTTAAAAAAAAAATGCTACATGGTGATGGGAAACCCGCGGGGATTACAATTGAGATGGAAAAAAAAATGTACAAAATGATGTAAAAGTAAACTGTTATAAAAAAATTTTTTAAATAATTAAAAAATGCCAAATTCTAATCAGGCATGATATTTTAGTAATTGTCTGGTGGCCTGTGTTATCACCATTTTCACATTCTGTTTTCCAACTTTGGAAAGAGAATGTGTCATGTGAAGAATGACCTTATTGTACAGTTGTAAGAGCCCTGCACTAAGACCTGGGTGCATGGGAACGTAAGGGTGGCTGCTAAAACCTAACTGTAGGATCTGGGATCAATTTTAACACCTCCCTGAGCCACAGTGTTCCATTGGTTTCTTTATAAAAATAAAAATACAAAGGTGGGGAGTAGCTGGCTACAGAGACCAGTAAGCCAAATCCAGACGAGCCGTGTAAAGCTCCCACCTCACCCTCTCCCCGGGAGCCTGGCCGTCAGCCTTGCTCCTTCCTGTGTCTCAGACTCCCCTGCAGAATCACTCTCAACACAGCACTCACAGCAACCCCGCAAACAAGTCATGCTTGGGATTTATTCTCATTTGGCACCTAGAAAGTCTAGCCCTTCTGCCTGTAGTCTGTAACAGTTTCTATTTAGAGTACAGTAAGTAGAATATAAAATGGTAGTGATTAAACAGCTAAAAATCATCAAGGTTTTATCCTTATCCAGAACCTCATTTTTCTTCACCAGGTTTTCAATTTACCTTAATTCAGTTAAACCATCATATTCCTCAGCGTTAAGTGTAGGGGAAGTCTACATTCTTAAAATTGTTTATATATACCTAACTTATCTACTTCATGAGGCTGGTGTGCTAACAATTTCATTGTTTGCATAAAAAGCAAACAATTTGGGAGGTATCTTATATAATAGACATAAATTTAATGCGTATGATATATACATGTGGATTCTGTATGTGTATGTATATGCCTGTACAAACAGAATTATGTGAGTTTATTTCAAGGTCTTAAATCAGTTTTTCTAAATAGGTTCATTTGACGGTATTTTCCTAGATGCACTTATTTGTACATGTTTGTAAACATCCAAAAAATAATTATTGGGTATTTCCCATGAGCTAGGCATACAGTAGGTGTTGGGAATATCATGGTAAACAAGGAAAATTCGGCCCATCCCTTATTGAGCTTACACTTTAGGAAGACAAACAAATCTTAATAAAAACAAGTAACTAAAAATTGTGATGAGCTTTATGATGGGGGGTTAGATCAAAGGGTATATTTGAGAATGGGATACTCAGGAAAGGTCACTCTGAGAAGATCAAATTCAACTTGATACAAAGTCCAAAGACATTGAGTTTGATCAAAAAAAGGTCATCATAATTACAATCAATGCTATATAACAATTATTCATTTACCTTGGGCTTAAGCACTGTCATTGACTAAATGGACTTACATAATTGCAATATAAATCTCACAACAATCTTTTCAGAGGTATAGCAACTCTTCAAGAACATTATTGATCCCACTGTCCAGTACTTTCTTCATAACATGTCTATCAATTTCCATAAACCTAACCCATCTTTCAGACAATATAAAAAATAGTAATCTTAATCTCACTCAGACAAGCAAGGTAAACTTCCCCATTGTTGGAACCTTACCAAGAAAACGTTTACTCACTTTATCCAATCAACTGAACTTTGGACCTAGAAATAGGCTCCAGTGGTCTTATTTTAAATGTATTGTGACTATACATTTCAGTAGAAATTAACAACATGAAAAATACTACTCTGAGTGTACATAGCAAACTTTTATTTAAAAGGATAGAAGAATTAGATATTGTATCTGTAAAAATTAACAGAGAAATGAGAAAGTCCAAATTTGTTAAAATTAAAAAGGCTATCTCCTGAAGTGGAAAAATCCAGTAAGATCTTATCAAGGAGAAAGGGGTGGGAGAAGGGGAATCAGTTTTACTTGGAAGGCTGGTAAAATAAAGCAATTTCAGTCAAGGTTACTTTTCTAAGAATTAACTAAATGAAAAAAGATTTTCAAAATGGAGCAAAAAAAAAACCTAATATATGTAAAAACTGGTTAAGAAATTGATTTAAAGGAAGGCCTCTATAAGGGAAAAAGACTAAAGACTTTCACTAAGGTGAAAGTTGACCATTTTAATTCTCAAAAAACGTCCAGAGTCAAAACTTCCATTGCCTCTTGATAGTTCTAGAACTTCTGTTCTAGAAGGCCAAGGTCAAGACTTGTAGATGCTCTTTCAACAATATTTACCAATCTTATCATTCTCCTCCATGGGGTAGAAAATCTAGCACATTAAACCTATATCTATGTTTTTTAATTCAGTTTGACTTGTGTCCCCAAGACACACTAGCAAGATTGATCTTCATTATCTCCACTTTCCCTCCAAATAAGTTTGAGCCTTTATCTCTTGTCACACTTCTCCACACCAGTCTGTGGAGTCGCCAGTGGGTATTTTTGTGCTTGCATGCCACTCGCTTTTTCTTCCTTCCTGTCTCCAGCTTCCTGTGGTAGTGATTTCACCAAGGCCTATCACACCATGCTCGTGCGTTTTTCAAGGTTGTATCTGTCACCTCTTGGCACTGCTGTCCTCTCCCGTCTGGCCAGTTAGATGTTGCCAAATCTGCCTGTTCTGTTTGTGCCTGAACTGTCCCTCTGTACTAGCTTTTAGTTGGCTTGTTTGTTTGACTCTTATTTTTGCTTTGTGCTCCACTGGTTCCCCTTGGAGGTGAGTCTTTGGGGAGTGAGAAAGGAAAGGATTTGCATTGCCCAAGGAGCATGTTCACCCTCTGCCACTGAGAGCCTCTCTTCCCTAAGTTATGTCCAGGCACCCCATACCCCTCAGCCTGCAGGAGGTGGCCTGGAAGCCATCCAGCCTGGCTTTTAGGGTGACTGTGGCTCAGCCCCAGCTGGGGTCCACCCCACTAACTTGTATTATAGATGTTCCACATTCTGAAGCACAAAGATGCCACAAGATGAAACTGTAGATTGTTACCCCATGGGGTCTGTCCTTGTTTTTGACCTCTCTACACTTCTTATGCCTGACCGACAACCTTTTCAAACAACCAGATGTTAAGGTAAATATTTTATTTTTTAAATGGAAATCGCAAATGCATTTTTGTTACAGGTGACTAAATGTTAAATGGTACTGCTTTCTCTAAGATATTTCACTATTTTTAACTTGCAAACAAAATTAAAAATTCAACAGCAAAGACTCAACACATTTAATAATCCAAGTTTACATTTCTTTTAGGTAATAGCCAATATGATGCTAACTACTGATAAGAAACTGTCATTTAAGAAATAAATCACCTCTTTCTTTATCATTAGTTTACATTTCCCTTCTCCACAGACATAAAGCGCTCTCAAGTTTGAAAGGGCTCCCACCTATATAAACAGTGGAGTGTGTATGCACACTGAAATTTGTTATTCACTTTCTTGCGTTTCACACATACTGCATTTTTTTTCCACAAGACCCTCTACTGGCAAGAAATGATGACTTGCCAAGGCACAGATGATAGTTAACATTTTTAGCAATAAATCATTTTTTATCTGAAGCATGTACCTTTTTTCTTAGACATACACTGTAGACATGCTTGGTAAACAACAGTGTAGTGCAAACTTGACTTTTCTTTCTGGGAAAGCTAAAAATTTGCTTGACTTGCATTATTGAAATCCTCAGTTTAGTGCAGTAAACTGAAAACAGACCCATATAGGTAATGGCCAGGCTTCCTTCCCACAACACTACATTCAGAATAAGATGAAACATTTGATACACCAAAGTGAGCATTCTCCTGTGAAGTACAAACCCAAATGATATTTAAAGAGCTTAGGGAAAGATCTCTCTCTCTTTTTTTATTACTTTGTACTTGATGTTGATTACAAGTAACAATAACAGACGAAAACCTAAATGATCTATTTCCAGAACCTCTGTTTTATTACGAATTCCTGACAAAGAAGAATCCTAGTTTAGCCAAGATATGTTTGTTTGTTTATTTGCCCTATATATAAAGTGATTTAGTGACATGTATAGCATTGTCTCCTGATGATCTGCCCCTCGCAGCCATCCTAGGCAAATCAACCCAGTATCAGAGCTCAGGAATCTGGGGACACCAGATTTCTGTTAGAGACACTAGATTTAGTTTGAAGAAGTGGTTGGGAAAGAAGCCAGAAGCCAGAAGCCAGAATCAAAAAGGCTTTTGCAAAACGCTTATGATAAGATATTCCATTATAAATATCTAGTTATAAAATTTAGTCATAAAAATCAAAGCTTTGATTAGACATGAGACTGGGCCTGTGATGCCCTAGTGGATATAAAGGATGCTTTTCACTCTCAGAGTTTTTGATGACATGTCATTGGGGGTAGGGCCTAACTGTTCCCAAGCATGCTCTTATCCTTGTTTCTCCCCAACTTCCCTTCCAATGTGTCTAACGGTATCAACGTTTAATGAGGACGAAAAATAACTGAATCACTTCCAAATAATACTGTTTTGATGACTGTCATAGGTATTCTGAATGCCTATTGACATTTCTCCCTGGAAAGATTATACTGCAAGTGATTTCCTGCTAACTCTTTAGGACAGAGATGTTGGAATTAGCCCTATAGATGTAGGATATGCATGGATTCCTACTCTTTCCCAGGTAGAAGTTAAGACAGGAGAATGTCTGTGCACTTCTGCTCCACAAAGCCCCTGCACACTCCTGGTTTCTACCATTGGTACTTTTGTTGGGAAGCTGTGCGGAATCACAGTTTAAGATACACATTAATTTTTGCCAGACAACTCCTCTGTGTCGGATTTTTCTTCTTATTCATCAAGAGAGTCATCCCCAGCAGACACAGTAGGAAGAAACAAATTCATATCCTGGCTGGGGAATTCTCCAACAATGAGTAGAAAATGTTGAAAACTCCAGAGCAAATGCACAGAAAAGATAAATTGAAGTAGGTCAAGATACCTGTGAATTTAATTATCAGCTTCAATGTCTAGTTGCTTTTTGTTTGCTTAATTTACAACTTGTGGAAAAGAGAACTATGCAAGGTCATGTAGTCTTGGAAAAGATAACCTTAAGATTTCCTGTCGTCGATTTACTCTGCAATTTCTCTGAAATACCTCAAACTTACAGTTACTCAATTGAGATCTATTGAAAAAAGTATATTGTTTAATGTATCTGCTCTTATTTCTTTTTAGGTGAGTCTCGATTCTCGAGTTAGAGAGGTGATCAACAGAAATCTGTTGGATCCTAACCCTCACATGTATGAAGATGCCCAGCTTCAGATATATACTTTAATGCACAGAGATTCTTTTCCAAGGTTTTTGAACTCTCAAATCTATAAGTCATTTGTTGAAAGTACTGCCAGCTCTACTTCTGAATCTTAATTTTCATAAAAAAAAATCATTTCGGAGGGCTGGGATGGGAAGTAAAAGTAGTTACATCACATCAGAAACCGAGTTCCTGGAGAACTACAGCTTAGCATTCCTCAGGCTACTGTGAAAAATATGACCACATGGTCTTTGTCTTCATTTTTATCAAGGTTATCCATGGTTAAGTTTGGAGGAAATACCACACCACATTATGAATTGCCAAATTAAGTTTGTTTTATTCAGCACTCATCTACTTGCAAGCAAACTTGTATTTGTAGTTCTACAAACAGTCTCCTAGTGTATCTCCAGAGACTGCATGTGCAACGTAAAACTGCTTCATTTGCCACGTCGTTGTACTATTTAACCCAATGGCATAACTTATATCTGTATTTAAGGACTTTTGTGCAATATGGTCTTCTAGAAATAATTGCCAAAAAATGGCTGTGGTTTGCATTTTTAAATATAATCTAAGACAGAAAAAGGCAATTTTTAATTTGTAACCATGGTATTCAATATGCTATATACTGTGTTCAGTACCCTAATTTTGAAGCCAATATTTCTGTACATGAAAAAGAGCTATTTATCTTTGTTTGTTGGAAAATCCAATGGGGAATTCCTCTGGTTGTTCACTGCCAAAACTGTGGCGTTTCATTACAGCAGAGTTTGCTATGTAAAAAACAAAATTAGAAGGGGAAAAAAAAAAGCACAATACTATTTGAAGATATTCTATTTCAAGGACAAATCAAAGAATGATATTGTTTTTAACTGTAATAGAGGAAAATGAATCTATGTATATATCAGATGTCCAATACTGTAATTAACTTATTAAAGACTGGCTCTCCAGTTCTAAAATGGTTGTGTAAAGTATGTACTTTAGCAGGAAAAAAAAATAAGCTTGATAACTTAGTTTTGGAATATAAAGAACGTATTTAATAAAGGAATGCTTACATGTAGCGTCATAAAACATTTTGATGAATAGCATCTGTCCGGTGGTATGGTATATTTTCCTTGAAAGTGAAATCCAATGAAAAGCTGTTTTTAACCAAGGAAGGTTTTATAAGGGTTATAAAGAAGATAATTCTCTACTTTGGAACTTAACTGTTTTCACATAGTATCTTAAGAATGACTTATTTTTAAATGCTAAAAGCATACTATTAATTCTCATCCATAATTGAAAGGCAATACAGTGCTCAAATCTTCTAGCTGCCATCTTATTTTTTATAAGTACCACTAAATCTTTAAGACAAAAAACTTGCCTGACATTGGCAGGTACTTTTGACATTCAAGAAAATAGTATCGTGTACACGCACACAAAAGTCAGTGTCATATTTATAGCAAAGTGTTACATTTGAATTTGAATATCGGTATCCCCTGGAAGCTATTTTTTTAATCTTAAATATTGAGTAATCTAAAATAAAAGTTTTAAAAATATTTATATCCACTGAGAATACTGGCCTTATATTAAGGATGATATTAACAAATATAGGTTTTCTTTGTCATTTTTTAACTACCTCTCATTTTTTAATTTATTAAACATTTTTTTAAAAGTTTGGGGTTTTCTTTTTAAATTTTATTTTACTTGAAAGGTTGGAATCCTAAGTTTCTTTTTCCATAAACTTTAAACATTTCAAAGAATTGTTCTTTTTAAGTGAATTTGATTTTCTAATTTATATAGAATTCAGGAGATATGATTAAAAGGGCTATTATCTATTCCCTATGCAAATATTTTAACTGTTGCAGTGTTTGACAAGATGGGATTTTAAAAAAGATTGCAGAGTAAAAACAAAATGTTCTGTTTACACTGGCGTTGCTGACTATCTTACCATACTCAGCACTTTTAAATACATTATTTATGAAAATGTTAGTTAAATACAAGATAGAAAATATTTATAATCATTTGTTTTAGTAAATGCCTGTTTTTGTCTGAAAGTGTTAGTGTGTCCAGACATAACTTTAACCATGTCAACTAGCTATTTACTATTTGACTAGTAGTTTTCAGTAATATGTTGAAAAAAGATAGCTTTGAAGATGTTTACAAAGTCTTATTTTTTTCCCTAATGAGTGAAGAAAAACCTTAAAGGGTCATCACTTCTTTTGTGAAATTCTAGTCCTGAATATTTAATTTTTTTTCTCGATTAGAATTGAGTTTAATGCTACTCTGATGTATACACATATACGTTGTATTACCATACTTATTGCTGTGTTTGAGGCACAACAAATTGGTGCACATGACTAGAAAACATGTAACCTACTATGATACAAGCATGCATCTGTCTTTTTAAATGTAGACTTTATATTCTCGTTGTTACTATATATGATGGTGACCTCCTAGTCATAAGTTATCTTCATAAGATACTTTGGACTTATTTAGATGAATTGTCTGTTTGACAATACCTTTAATATTTTACCAAATGTAAAAGATAAGGGCCCTTATAAAGAGCCCTAATCTCTAACCTGGGCATTTGTAGAATACAGATTTTGATGAGTATATCCTTTAGAAGCCTGATTAGGAAGTCGTGTTGAGAATCATTCTGGAGCAGATTTATGTCAGCCGTTGGTAACAAGCTGTGTGAGCATTTCTGTGCTAAATTCCTATTTTGGGTACAGGGGAGGGTTTCTCATTTAATTTCAAAATGTTTTAGTTTCTGTCTCAGCGTATGTCTGTATATTTCGCAACTCTACCAGTTTTTAAAGTATGATATAAATCATTCTGTTTAAAATTGCAGAGCGATAATAAACAGACAAAAAAGCCCTCCACTGGTGTCTATGCTACCATTTCAAGAGCACAATATTTGTTTTGGTAGTATTTGATATTTTCTAATGAATAAATTCCTCCCTGGGGAAAAATTAGCACTTTAGAAGGAACACTTAGTGTTTTAGATTGCCAAGGTATCTCTGTATGCTGTTAGAATCTGCTAATGCACACAGAAAGAGGTTAATGCTCTTTCAATAGTGCCTAACTTCAAATGTGTCTATAATGGAAAGAAAAGCTAGAGGATATAGATTATATATAAATCCATATATATATATATATACACACATAGATATAAATTGGAGAGCCAGATTTCTTCAGAGATGGATCTTGTACATAGATCACAATAAGAATGGATGGATGATACTTCTTCACTCTGGATAACGGTCATTTGGTAATACAGATGTCCTACTACAGGGCAGCTCTGAGCCCAGCAGATGCACTGGCGTAAGAACAATAATAGTTAAACACAATTTTGATATTAATGTTAAAAAGTGCAAAAATCTGGACCATAATACGGTCTCCTTTTTTAATCTTAAATTATGTACATAGGATGACCAGTTCTGCTATTTGGTCATGGTGTTCAGTAGACTCCTTTAATGCTGCCTAGGTTCTTATTTACAGAATGAAGTGTGTACCATATATTTACCCGATAGTTCAGTTTTGGAAAAGGACCATAGAAGTAGGTAAATAATGTTTACTTATTAGGGACAAAAATACATTTTCACTCCATCAAGCTGACTGAAAGAATACCCAATTATTAATTTTCAATTTAGCCATTTTTTGTATAACCTTTAACATATTGAAAAATAAGTTGTATTATAATTGTGACCAATCACATTTGCAAAAAATATATATAACAAATGCTTTGAGGCAGAAATACACAAGGGAGAAATTTAAAATGCATTCAAATAATAGAAAAATGTGAGTTCTTTTGAAAGCCACCTAAAATTTCATAAATTGTCTAGATCTAGAATACTGTCAAACATGAATTTTAAATACTTTGGACCAAATATACCAGCCTATTATTTTGAAATGTAGTAAAGTTATTTTCAGAAAATTTTCTTATGTATTTCTATCAAGTTTATGACCCTCATTTTCAAAGTGTATTTTTTAAATACTTTTTGAGAGCTCCTCTGAGCTATTAGAAAAATCGTGATCTATGTCTATTCTCCATTATTAAATCTGTAAAAATTTTTAGTCAACTCCTCATTTGCTGCAGTTACAAATATTTATTAATAAAGTTGATGCAAAAAGCTGCTTCCGATCTCCCCTGAAAACGTTTCATGGGATTGTGGAGCCCATAACAATGCAGACTGCTAAGTGTTGTTTCCAGTACCAGGTTTACTTACAAATTTAATTTCAAGTTCTGTCTCCTGATTTTGAGCAACTCATTTATCCTTTCTGAACATGTTGTTTCATCTTCACATGAGAACTATAATACTTATATTACAGGGCAGACCTGAGAATTAAATTGAAATAAACATGGAAGTAAGGTTAGTATTTTACCAAAGTTCTTCAGCTCAAAGGTTATTCCCATGTTTCAAGGATGCACGTATTAAATGCATTTTATTGCATGTTCCCCCCTACATTTTCCAAGCCATACTTTAAAAACTTGATTTAATTATTCATCCAAACAAATACAACCAAATGTATTTGAAGACTGATAACTATGTGAACATCTTACTGCTCTGTTCCAAAACGTGATCAAAATAGTATTTTCAGTTTACCACCACTCTAAATCTACAATTGAGAACTATGTTTTTCCCATCACACATATATATAAGTGTGCAAGCACATGTATAACATCATAGATTAAAATAAATCACGTGAAAATTTTATTTCCAAAGGAAATAAAACATTTCCAGTATAAAAATAGCATCAAGTAATTTGCCAAATAAATATGTTGTAAGAGATTGGCCATTAGAAAACACTGGCACTTTTTAATATTAGGATAGTCTGATTTTTTAAATTAATTTTGCCATGATATGAATTGGCCATAAACCTTCTCATTAAATCTTTTATTGTGGAATAATTTAAGATATATAGGGAATTTGCATAGTACAGAGGTTCTATATACTGCACAGCCATGATACATTTGTCACAATGAGTGAACCAATACTAATAACTATTGAGTCCAAATCGACAGTGTTGAGTATCGGTCTACTATTTTCTAAAACTTGTCTGATGTATTTTCTGTTGTCAGATAGGCTAACAGATTTTTTGGAAGAGAAACAATAGAAGTAAAGGGCTATTCATATCATATGATATCAAATGCACATGTCACCACAACCCATCACTATTGATGGTCATCTGGATGACCTGGCTGAGATGTTTGGTAGACTTCTCCACTCTAATGTAATATATTTTAAGAGGTTAAATTGGATGTAAATTTATTGGACATTTACACTAAGCAAAAAAATTCTGAGCAGGTTTTTTTAGCAGTACGATTGAGAAAATATAATGAACTAGAAACTGAAATAGGAAAATAAAATTTTCAGTGTTAGCTTGGATTAGTCACTTAATGGAGATGAAAATGAATTCTTTTCCCTTGAATTACCTGTATCCTCTGCATCCCTTAGGTAGTAAAGGTCATTGTCTTACTAATTGTCATAGAGGTCATTTAAATTGATAATCACTTTGCTGAGAGCTTTTCTGTATTGCCTTCCACGGAAAAGGAACACTGAATATAGAAATATTGTAAAAGACTGATTTCTCCCCTTTAATCTATTTGTCACATATACAATGTTTCTTGTATATGGTTTTAAGGTGTTGGCTAAATTTTAAAAAGAATTTCAATGTGTTTGGTTCTGTAAAATTTATCATATTAAATGTGTGTAATTTTTTACTACCTTGTTCATTGTAGTTAATAACTTACAGTCATTTATTTGACTTCACCAATATTTACTAGTGGAACATAAAGAAGTTTTGAATGCATGAATAAAAACGTAAGAGTTACCGTGCTTGGTTATTTTGCAATGCCAGAATAACTAGGTTCTTATCAATTGAATAACCCAGATTATTTTTCCTCCAATTTAATTGGTCTCAGTTTATTCTCCCTTCCTTCCTGGAATCATTTTATCTATGTACAATAATAGACTTCCTGAAGTGCTAGAATTTTCAACATGTAATAAAATTTGAGCATGAAAATAATGTACAAAAATCCAGAAGTGTCAAGTATATTTCTTTGAGTTTTTAAAGTAAATCAAACTGCAACTGATTTCATTTGATGACATTGTGGGAAACCTATGGACATTATTGTAAAATTCACATATATTACAGTAACTTGAAATGTTATTTGAATTAATAAAGAATTCACCAATGTATCTTTAGACAAGCTACTGTTTTCTCATTGGTGTAACCTACAGTAAAAACGCATTTATATTACTTAAATTGCTTATGCGTCCGAGGGAAAATAATTTCTGACTCTTTGCTTCACGTTGTTTTATAGGGTTATGGTTATTGCACTTTTACATCATATATAAATAATAAAAATATATTCTTGAAAGGACGTTTCCTGAGAAGTCAGCTGAGTTTTATGATAATGAATGCAAGTGACTCTCACTATATCAATAGGTGAAAAAAATTCAAAGTTGAGTTTAGACATGGGAAGTACCCGTCCCTAACTGAGCTATAACCAAGTAGTGCTATTCTACTTCCGGATCAAAATGTGAAAACTTACAATCACTGTCAGAACAATTTTATAAAGCAAATTTAAAGTGACTATATAAATTCAAAGTGAAACGAAGTATTGAATTAGGTGAAACTTTTACGTAGCAAAATTTAATTTTGCATTGTATTCTATGGAAAGTCACCTCATTCTTCCACTTGGCTTTGCACTTTTAAGTGGAGCACAGGGATGAACAGGCATGCAAGCTCGTTTTCTACGAATTTATCCTTAACCGCAGTTGGGTTGCTTAGTTTACTTAAGAATGACTTGTCAAGGGTTCCCTTATTGTGCTATTTTTTAAAAGAACGAATTACAAGCTTTTTCAGTAGGTCAGCCGTTATAAGTGAAAGCAAAACAGTGTTCGAACAAGCTGGCCATGGGGCTCTGCAGGGGTATCGTCCAGGCGTCTGGTTACATTTCCTTCCCCTAGTGAGCTGTGACTGAGGGGATTTTGGAAAACGGAGAAAGCATTATTATACCATGACTTTCAGCCTCCCTGGCACCAATCCGCTACCTGAACAGTTCTCTTAAATCTTTTTGACTTTAACTTTTTTTCCCTTTTTCTTTGTTAAGCTTTTTTAGGGAGGGGTGGGCTGGTGAAGGCGGGTCCTCGGGAGGCTTTGTTTTGTTGGATCGTGCAAATCACGACCCCTTTAAAAAAGCAGTTGCCGACTTGGGGAGAAGAAGCCTTTGCAAGCAAGTAAACTGCGTGGCAGATGAAGGCGCAGAAATGCTATCTGCAAAATCACTGCGTGCTGCCTTCGAGTCCGCTTGTCACGTCTTGTTCCCACGCGCCTCGCCCACGGTCCAGAAGAGAGATGCGCAGGAGAGGAAGAAGAGGGCCGGGATGGCGCTGGGATGCTACACTGGTGTCCAGCGCGGCCTGAATTCCCAGTGCTTGGGAACCAGAAAGCCGAGAGGCGTCCCGCCACGGCCACCTCCCCACCGCCAATGGACCCCGCACGTCCGAGGAGCCGTTCCCCACCAGCCTGCAAGGCGGTGCCTGTGGCCTCCGGGACCCGCCCCTACGGCTTTCCGTCCGCCCTTCAACTTCCGGTCTCCGTGACTAATATGGCGTTTAAATGCCTGGCCGGAAGTTCACACCAACACTTCCTGGAGGCCCTTTAAACAGCCGGCGCGTGAGCCGGGTAGGGCTCGGTGAGTTCTCGCGTTTACTTCCGAGCCCTTCGAGGTCTCGCGAGACTCGCGGTCACCGGAACTCCCGACTCGGCTGCGTCCCTGTGGCCCCCGAGCAGGATGCGGTCCCGGTTTGTACTGGGAGCCGCTCGTTATCTGTGGCCCCGCCGGCCTAGTGGCCCGGCCCGCCGGCACTTTAGCAGCGGCGGCCCGCCCGTGGAGGAGTTGTTCGTCTGCGGCGGGCCCTTGCGCACCTTCCTGGAGCGTGTGGCCGGGTCCGAAGCCCGGATGAGTGTTGGGGGCCCCGAGCTGGCATCTGCAGCCAGAATGCTGAGCGACAAGGAACAGGAACTGCGAGAGACCCAGCACTTGCTGCGTGGTAAGGCCCGGGCTCAGGGGGCGAGGCTCAGCAGCCCTTGACTAGGTTGGCCGCTGCCACCAAACCTCGGGTCAGGGCCCTCTCGTCCAGCCGGAAGCGCGTTGTAAGTTCTGACATTTACTTTTGGAGCCGCCTTCACGTCCCTGTTAAGTGCTTTCTGATCGCATCATCTCCTGTTTGGGTTTTTGTGCTCCGTCAACACTTCCTGAACTCAAGTTGACCTTTGTGATGCACGCTTTGGTCCGAGATCGCCAGCCCAACAAGGACAAATGGGCACTCTTCGTAGGCGAGCCCGAGCCGAAGAAGCGTCTGAAATATGGGGAAGGGCCGCGTGCTAAAACCAGACACGTTCAAAATCTGAGACTTCGAAATACGCGTTTTTAATAGCTGCTGGCTGAGTGGTTACTTGGCATTCGAAGCTCCCAGCCCCCAGGGATGCTGATTGCTAGTCCTTAGACCCGGCTTTGGGTTGTAAGGCTCTAGAGAGAGCCACAGTCTCTTGGGGAAGAAAAATCAATTGTATTATAGGCGACTGGTAGTAGCAGTTTTCTGAGTAAGATAGAGGAGAAAGGAGAACTTGTTGGGAGGCTCTGTACAGAATAATGCCTCGTTGTGAGGGTATACCAGCTTGCCTGTATTGGTCCCTGCCCATCTGAGTCTTGCTTAGCTTATGCGCAGACTCCAGCACTGTAAGTCAACTCACCCAGGTGCTTATTGCAAACTAAGGTAGTTACTGTTGCCTTCATTCGACAGAAGAGGAACCTGAGGGTAGAGTATAGCAACTTAAAGTTTGTAAAGATGTCATACTTTTTTTTTTTTTTTTTTTAAGATTTATCTATGTATACAGAACTGGGGTACAGGGAGAGTGAGAGGATTCACCAGAGACAGAGTGGGGAACAGAACAGGCCGACTGACGACGTACAGCCGGTGAGATCAGGAGAGGTCTGCCAAGCCATTTGGATCACCTGGGGCAGGGTTCGGAACTAATGCTGAAGGCTTTTAGTTTCTGTAGCCCTGTGCTTTAACCTGCGCCACCAGAGAGGGCCGAAGATCTCATACT